CTTTGTCCGAAAATAGGATAGCGACTCCCTCTTGTTTTCAAGATCCCATTGCATAGAATGTTGTTTTCCATCTTTTGATTTTTAGTCTTTGGATTTCTTTTAGATTAGATGTGTCTCTGTATGCAACATACCACTGGGCTTTGTTTTATTATCCAGACTGCCAATAAATATCTTTTGATTAGGTAATTGAGGCCATTTACATTGAGAGTTATTACAGAAAGGTACTGATTTATTCTTGTCATTATACTATTTTTCTTTGGTTGAATCTTTTGTTTTTCTCTTTTGTTGAACTGCTTATCTTGCTTGATGTATTGATTCCATCAGACTTTTTGGCATTATTGGCTTCATTATCTCTAGGATATCGTTCAAAAATTTTTGGAGTGCTGGTTTGATAGTCATGTTTCTTAAAATATTCTTTGTCATGGAATGTCCTTATTTCTCCATCAAATTTCAAAGACAGTTTTGTAGGATATATTGGTCTAGGTGGAAATTTGTTTTCTTTAAGGGTTTGGAACAATTCACTGCAAGCTTTCCTGATCTTTAAGGTTTGTGTTAAGAAATCTGCTGTAATTCTAATGAGTTTGCCTTTAAAAGTGGTTTGTTGTTTTTTCTGTAACAGTTTTTAAGATTCCGTCCTTGTGTTGGACTTCTAGGATTTCAGACTATGATGTGGCATAGAGAAGCTCTCTAGTTGTGGCTATTTGGGGTTCTATATGCCTCACTTACTTCTATGTCGAATTCTTTTCCCATACTTGGAAAGTTTTATGCTATGATTTCTGTACACAGATATTTTTGTTCCATTTGTACTGTCCTCTGACTTTTCTCTAATTCAAGTTAGTCTTAGTAGCTGTTAGACCAATTTTCCTTGCTCTTCGCTTGTTTTTAACATATCTCTGAGTATGTGGTCTTGTACAATGTACCTGTATTCTAGATCTAATATCCTCTCTTTACATTGGTCACTTTTGCTGCTCATGCTTCCTACACAATTCTTTATCTCCAGGATTTCTGTTTGACACCTTTTCATAGACTAATTCTTTGGTAAATTTGTCATTCATGTTTGGAATCATTTTGGTTAGCTTTTCTAAATTTTTATTTGAATCGTTTTTAAGTTCATTGATCAATTTTTTTATTAAGTCCACTATTTGTTTAATTATATAATTTTGAGCTTACCAAGTTTCTTTGCTTCTTCTTGATCATTTCAAGTTGTGCAGTCATCTGGCTTCTGCTTTCTTCCCATCAGTGTCCCTTGTATCTGCTTTGGGGGAGTTGGGAGTATTTGGAGGCATTTTGTTGCCTTGTTTTCTCATGCTTATTTTTTATTTGTGCTAAGGTTTGAGGATCAACTACAATGGAAAAATTCTGTGGTTAGTATGGAGATCCCATTAGCTAATGTTTCCTTTCCAGTGATATGATCTTGGATTTCTTTGCTTATTAGTATTATCTACCTCCTCCATCTACTCAGTTTAATAGGATTGGACCCAGTCACTGTGCTGCAAGGCAGAATTCCTAAAGGTTATACCATCAACAGATTCAATCCTACATCAAGCATGTACATTAAAACTTGTTTTTAACAGTTTCACCATTTTACCAATGTCCCTTACAGATTGAACTATACTGCTATCAATAGACTAGAATATGGAGGGGAGAGGAGAGGAAAATGGAAGAGGAAGAGGAAGAGGAAGGGAGTAAATCAGAGACATAGAGAAAAGAAATATCAACAGGTGAAAAGCAAACAGGAATTCAGACACTGTTGAGATTATTTTTATAACTGGAAAAAAGTGTAGTGTTAAGAAGCGACTTGAGGGAGTGGAAGGAGAGATGCGGGGCAAGGAAAGTGTGATTAGGTAATGAGAGAAACTAAGGTTGTCAAAACATGTTAATATGTTGGTAGTTAATGTTTGGATCCTCTATGTCAAATTTTGGTAAAGGTTACCTTGGTGTGCCCCTGAAAAGGTACTATTTAAGTTAAAGCACTGGTTAATTTTTTTCTCTTTTGCACATATACAGGAATATATATTTCTACAGGAATATATATACAGGACTATATAATATAATAATTTCTATCTATCTATCTATCTATCTATCTATCTATCTATCTATCTATCTAATTTGACAAGGGGCTGACAAGGTACAGTTTTCCCAGCACCAGGTTCTGCTAGGGACCTCTTACACCTATTCCCTTCACTGCAGGGCAAATTCCATGATCACCTCCATGTTTTCTGCCCGCATGACTTTTGCCTCATGTAACACCAGAAGCCCTTGGACCAGGCATCACTCTCTGTTCCTCAGCTTGTGGTCCTTTATTGATCACTGTCCCAAGAGCTTCATTCTCTTACTCATGAATTTGGCATAGTCCCAGGGCTCCCTGCCACCTGCACTCCTCAGAAAGGGGATTCTAGGGGCTCCCCTGTGGGTACCACCTGCAAGGGTGGACAGTGCACTCAGTGTCCCACAAGTGCTGCACTCTGGTTGTGTGTGTGGGAGGAATGGATGACTATTACAGGTTCTCTCAAGCTTCTCTCCAAAATGTCCCACTGCTTCCAGGCATACAAAGCCCTAGGGCCTTGGCCCTCAATCCTATCAGCACTCACACTGAAGTCCCTAATTTGAATGGGACTATTGTTTTCAAATTCGTGAGTGTGCATCAGTGTTGTCTTATTCCCCGAAGCCCTGGCTTGCATGTATGTCAATTGCAGTGATCGTCTTCCTGGAGAAGTGATTGTGAGCCTATTTCATCAGGAGTTTAAAGTACTCATTCCCTCACTCAGGGATCCCATTCTCTCCCAAGATAGCTTGGACTGGGAGTGAGGGGGGGTGCCATGATCCAAGAGTGTTCTGTCTCCCTCTTACAAACCCCCTTAATACTGAGTTTTGGTCCAGTGAGTTTCTCCTTTATTTTTTGTACCAGGGATCGAACTTGGAACCTTGCGCTTGTAAGGCAGGTGACAGAATCACTGAGCTAAATACCCGGCCCAAGTTTCTCCTTTTATTTACTCTCCCCTATCAGGCTTTCTCTTTAGCCCCCTTCTCAGTGCACCTGCTTTTCACCAGTGCATGATTTGGAGACTCTCTTCCTCGCTATTGCCCTCTAGTTGGTCATGAGGATGTCCCCTGTCAATTTTTGCTTTGTTACCTAAGCTTTTGGTGTTATATCCAAGAAATCAGTGCCAAATCCAATACCATAAAGCTTTTCCTATCTTCTACTAAGAGTTTTATAGTTTGGGTCTTATATTTAGGTCTTTAATCAGCTTTGAGTTAATATTTGTCTATGGTATGAAGATAAGGTTTCAGCTTCATTCTTTTGCACAGGGATACCCAGTTTTCCCAGCACATCCTGTATGTGCTAATATAGACTGAGTTTGTGTGTTTAGGGTATATTATCAAATGTTTTCAAGGATATGTTTAGAGTAGATTTTTTGTCATTTGTGAAGTTATTTGCATGGCATATTCTGGACACCAGGGTGATGGTAAACCTTTTAGAGTGTTCAATGATATCAACAGCCTGCTGCAGCATGTGTGCCATAGGTAGGCACCACTGTTGTAGACTCACTTAATGTAACAGTGAGTATAGAGTCACTGTTGTAGAGTCATTTAATTCTACAGCAACTCCCTTAGCAAATGTGCTTTAGTCCTTCTGCTCCTGGTTGCTCAGAAATCACCAATGTAGGTTCTTTCTGAGGCCTTTTTTTTCAGTTCATCTCACCTTTCTCCCTCTTTAACCTCCTCCTTTCCTTCTCTTTCCCTTCCTCCTCCTTCTTCACCTTCTCCTTCCTTTTATTCTTCTCTTTCCATCAGAAACCTGTATCTTTCTGGAAACTGATCTCTACTTCTCTTTTGACTTCCTAAGTCAAATCTGTTTCATTTGCTTGTAAATGGATAGATAATACTGATAAGTGCAATTCCTCCTCCATGCAGCTCATGGAATTCCTCCTCCACGCAGCTCTTTCTTTCTCCAAGATTTTGGACATCTTCGTATAATACAATCTACTCTGTATACACCACTCTTTGATTATGTTATAGTTATTAACTTTCTATTACCTTCTCATTTGTGATTTCCTGGCAGGCAGTTACTGCTTTCCCTGGCATGCCTAGCATAGAGCCTGGAACATATTAGACACTCATAAATATGGGCTAAGAATGATTCTTAAACTTCACTACTCAGTCATTTGTTTCCCCAAAAGAGAAAATATTTCAAATTTAGTTCCAAAGCTCCTTGATTAATCTTAGTTTGGCTTAAATTAGGAGAAAAGTCTGAATGACTTAAGTAAAATAGGTTATCTGGGAATTCAGATGTAGACCTTTTTGTAAGATAGAAAAAGATAGAAATATCAGACAAGGGCTTCCCTGTCACAAACCTGTAGTTTCCACCAGGAAGAAATAAGAAAAATACATCAGAAAAAAAGAACAACTTTATCACAGAGTCTTACGTTGCAGTTTCTATGATTAAGCAATCCAATGTGAAGATTAGAAGCATAAATATAATCTTCATGCATTTTACATTTCAAATAAAAAACTTGGCATATATATATACACACACATACTAGAAGACAGCTAAGAAATCTCTTTTTTTTTTCAGCCACCAGAAGAAACAGAAGAACAGAGGGAGGACTACGGATGAAGTGGCAGACTTTCACTTTAAACTAGATAGAGGCAGGAGACCCTTCCAGATGCTGTGGCAGCTTACATGCAGTAGGCTAAACAGAAGGAACAGCTTGAGGTATCATCTTCCCTACCTTACATTAAAATCCAGGAACTTAAAAGAAGAGCCAAGAATACAAACATACAGGCAATAATTACATACATTAGTTGGATCCCTGGTAAACTAAAAGCAGTTTTTAAACATATTCCTATCATTCTTTAAAGTCAGTGTTTAGGTTACCCTAGAATAGGAACTAACCACATTCAAACCAGTTAAGGTATGCAAAGTAAAAAGGCCCACATCTTTATTTAAAAAGTACGTAAATGCAGTGTAGAATATATAGGTGGCACATGGTGCCAATTTTATTTGCAGATAAGAGTACTCAAGCTTAGAAGTTACACCTTTGCCACAGACTTGGCCAAATCTTCAACTAATGCACAATTGAGCTGTGCTAGAGTGCTGATCTTAGCATGCTTTGATGTGGCATACTTGTTCTTGATAGTCACGTGCTTTGTAAGTCCATGATTCACCATGACTATATTCTTAGCCAGGTGCTGCATTATGGAAAGTAGGGATTCTTCAGTATATGACAGGTAGTGCTGTGGAATTGGGGTCCATTCACCATTGTCAAGAATTTTCAGTGCTAAGCAAAAAGCTCCTGCTGCAATTTGAAAAGGAGGAAAGTGCACCATATCATAGTCCAACATAGATAGTTCCATCAGGTATTTGGCCAAACTATGTTGCTCAACATCAACCTCTCCAATCTTAGATGCTCTACGAAGAAAGTGCAGGGGGAGTGGGCGACCCAGGCCAAAGTTTAAAACTCTTAGAATCTTCATTTCTATTTGTCTGATCTGGTGCTTAGTGTAAGTACTGTTAGTCACATAAGCAAAGTCTCCAATTTCTGGAGGGTACATTTCTTCATATTTGCTTGCAGTGAACATGGCAGTGACTCCAACCAGCTGCAGCATCTTCTTGGGCACACAATTATTCTGCATGAACCGATCAATAATGGAAACAGTCACGTACATGGTCTCCTGAAGAAACCTGAATTTTATCTGAACCTGTATTAGCCAGTCAATTAGGATAGCTCTCATGTTTCCAGTGACTTTACGACCCAGTAGGTATTTTGGTCTGACTGACTGCTCTTCCTCAAGTTGTCTAAAATAAGCATAGATATCTTTCACATATTCACTACAAAGGTTTGGATCTGCTCCATCTTCTGCATCCACATCATTCACTGCAAGAATGGCATCAGAGAAGGCCTGACACAGATATTCTTCTGCAGGGGCACATCCAGATGTCTCCATCGGGCTTGGAGAGGGAGTATCAACCAAAATAGGCTCAGGAGAAAGTTTTTTTTCCTTAACAGGCTCAGGTTCTGGCTCTGGCACACATACAGGCACCTTTTCCAGAGGTTTCTATAGTTTTTTAGCAATAACTTTTCCAGTCGCTGAAGTTTTCACTTCCTTTTTCAGAGGCACTCTGGCTTGCAGCTGCTCTCTGACTTTGTTACCAATGTCTCCGAGATGTCTCTGTTCTTGGCCTCAGACCTGGCTTGGAGGCTGCAGCAGAGGCCACGGGCCCACGCTTTGCGCCTGCCATAGTGATCGTGGCCTTATTTTCAGCGTTAATTTTCGTGTTCCTGGTGACACGGAGCGCCATGGCTTCCTTTTCACCGGGCAGTACCAGAACACCGGAGCCCCAGGAGAGCCTCGTCGCGATCCCCACCAGAGATCAACAGCCGTTCCTCCGCAGCACAACTAAGAAATCTCTTACTAAATAAGGTTAAGAAAAGTTAATATCAAACAAGTTACATTATATGCTTCTGAATATTTTCTCTCTCCAAGCTGAGAAAACGACAGCATAAACATTAGGAACATAATAAGTTTCAATTTTTTCATTAATATTGAGTACAAGCTGCTACTTCAAAAATATCCCCATTAGATTTAAATTATTCTGTAATTCTAGGGCACACTTCCCATCCCCCACTCCAAAGGATGTTAAAAGCTAGTTTATCATTCTCAGGTATGCATTCTCATCACCTTGAACAAAAGAGTAATTAAATGAACACTTTGTCAGTCTATTCCAGAGGTGAATATGAGGTGAGCACAAATCCCTTTAATCTCCATGGAAAAATCCAAACCTGAGAAGAGTGCTCAGATTGCCAGAAATCTCCTTCAGAAAAGGATAATCCATAAATAAACTCTTAGGTTATTTTTCAGAGAACTGGCTGCAAAATCTAATAATGTTAGAAATGCTTGAAGCACAAAACAGAGGAACGTGAGTATGTAATTGGGCATCAATTTTCGAATGTGCCTAAGTCAAAGTTTTATAAGTGGGAACTTTATCGTAGGATTTCATTTGTTTATTTAGTGAAAGGCATGACTAGTGGCTATATTATAGCCACTTCATAATGCTCTTTAGGGTTCTTTTTGAAATCTTGAATCCTATGGATTCTTTCATGTTCTTAGACTTGTAAAATATCTGCGACTGTTTATTTTTATAACCACAGTGTAGCTAAGTACTCCTAATGGGTGAAAAAAGTTACTTACAACTAAATTTTTTAGTTATATAGCACAACTACTCATTTATATCATTCTTATGGTGCATCAACTATTCTCCATATAAAAGCCCCAGAGAGAAGTCCCTTTCAGATTTATTGCATTTGAAAAGTCAATCATACCATAAAAATCAGATGTTTTTAGGAGATAGACCAGAAATTAGAGCAGCCTACAATAAGCTGGAAGATTCAATAGCTCTTGGAGTCAATTCCAGATTTGAATGACTACTTTGTACATCAGCCTCCACTTGACTTAATGAAGGGGGACAGCACAGCACATATATAACAATATTCCAATATAAAGAGAGGCTTCATTGCCCAGAGGGAACAGAATCAACTGTCCCCTAGATCATGAAAGACACACAATTCCCCAAGTAGGACATTATGCAGTTTGTCACACATTACTCTGTAAAAGTGGGTCTTAGCCTGGCTACAGTTTAAGATCCCCCAGAGACAGTGAATACAAAACAACAAAACCCAATAGGTTTAACTCCCCCACAACCAAAAAAAAATTCTTGATCTGGGGTATGATAAGTCTAATATGCAGCCAGGGTTGAGGAGCTGTGCCCTATGGAATCAAAGCAATCAAAAAGACAAAGTTAAGACACAAAACTCTCATTATGGAGACATTTAACTTTTTTAATTATCCTAAAGCATGTGAGATCTATTGGAACTGAGCAGGTAATTTTCTCCTAACCCAAATGCATCAGGTTCAGTAGAGCAGAATTCAATCTGGGGGAACTACAAAGCTGCTTTCCCAAATGTGTCTCTGTGATCTACTCTCTGGTCAATTGATTCTTTTTATTAAAACAACAGAAAAGGCTTATTGGTGTTTTCTCCCAGATCTTTGCCAGGTAAGAATAACAATTCTGTAATTGTAACAGTCATCCTATTCCATGTTTCAAGGTAGAACATGGTATTTATGATTCATGATTTTGTAGTCTGGAATGGCTAATAAAAGCTTATTATGCTTATGCACACACAATTTTATATGGAATTTCACTGGGTTCACAAACTACCTGCAATTCCATAAAGGCTGATAGGCTCTAGGTTAAGAAGCTTTGTTTTATATACTTTACAAGTTATTGGTTGGACATGAGAGAAGAGGAAAAGAAAGAAGGGCAGGAAATGATGGTAGAGATTCAGCAGATAGGACCTGGAAACTGTAGTAGTACTGTGGACTATGCTTGTCACTGAGTGTGCATAAGAATCACCTGCAGGGCCGAGGATTTAGCTCAGAGGATTTAGCGCCTGCCTTGCAGGTGCAAGGTCCTGAGTTTGATTCCCAGTACCAAAAAAAAAAAAATCACCTGCAATCTTGTTAATCTGCAGATTCTGATTCAGTAGGTCTGCAATGGGCCTGAGATTCTGCATTTCTAACTAGCTGTTCTTCCACAGATCTGACTTTGGATTGCAAGGTATTTGAAGGTATGTTATCAAGTTTCCTGCCTTTTCCTAGAACATTAAGGACACAAATGTATAAGTATTACAACTTTTCTTGAAAATCTAATACTGTATATAGCATTTGCTATTTCTTCTAACAAAAAGGATAAGGAACATGGTAAACTTAATTTTTTATTTCCAACAGTCTCAGAACTCCAATTGCTACAACTGTTAAATTTAATAGTGTTTCTTTTCATGGAACCAAACATTATCAATTCAATGGAAGTAATTTTTTTAATCCTAAAAACAACAACAACAAAGCAAATGAAACAAAAATCTTCCCCTGAGTGATGTTGCTCAGGAAGAAAAGAAATTCCATTATGAAGTACAATGTGATTTTTAAACCATTTTTGTCTGGAAAAGAACCATACTTCAAACCAGGCTGTGAACCTGAAACCAGCTTTTCTGAACCAGAAAATAAGACAGAGCCCATTGAGTTAAGTATCTCTCCAGGTTATTAAAGACAAGAAATGGAAACTGGGCAACACCACACAAAGAGGTACCGGAAGATGATCTGCTCCTAGCTCATCGTGGGATTTTAGTCCCAATAATTCCATCTTCAAAGAGTATTCTTTCTTTTCTGATTTTAAAAGTAAAAAAAAATAAACAAAGGTAATATATGTTATTATTTTAAAACTTATTCTTAAAAGATATAAAGACAAAAAATATCATTTAAAAACTATTTGCTGAGGACCTATATATTTGTTTTCTCCCTCTCTGTTTTCTCTATGCATCTTAAAATATAATTAGAAAACTATACTACATTAAGGATTGTAGCCTGCTTTTATTCCCCTTGGTGTGAACAAGGACATGATAGGGTTTGGTAGCTGGGCACAGTGGAGGATAGAGGTGGGCAGTGCAAATCACCTCAACATCAATGCAAGCCCTTGTAAAACTATTTTCATCCTTTCTCTACTTTAATTTTTTGTCCCATTTTATTTAATTGTCAAAAAAGTATACTTTATTTTGGGTTTGGAAAATTCAGACTAACAAATCTATATCGATAATGGAAATAAAGTTAACAGGGATAAGTTATTGTCTTGCAACTTAAAAGAGGCAATCATGGACTATCATTCTCACATACAGTAGGAATAATCTCTCTTGGTTCCTCCACCATGAAGAAAGTGAAAAGAACAGCTATAGAAAGAGAAATGCTTCCCCATGTGCAAAGCCAGTTTTTGCAGCACCATTTATTAAAGAGGCTATCTTTTTTCCAGTGAAGGTGTCTGGCTCCTTTGTTGAAGATAAGGTGGCTGAGTGTGTCTAGAGTTGATTCTGCATCTTCTATTCTGTTCCACTGGTGCTCACCTCTGTTTTTTGTCGGTACCATGTTGTTTTTATCACAGTACCTCTATAGTATAATTTCAGGTCAGGGATTGTGATACCCCCTGCCTTGCCTTTTTTTGTCCAGAAATGTTTCTGCTATTCTAGGTCTCTTCTGGTTCCAAATGAATTTTAGCAATGTTTTCTCTAGTTCTGTGAGATATGCTATTGGTATTTTGATTAGGATTGCATTAAATCTGCATAACAATTTTGGGAGTATGGCCATTTTTACTATGTTGATTCTTCCTACCCATGAGCAAGGGATGTCTTTCTATTTTCTCCAATATCCTTCTTCATTACTGTAGTTTTGGATGTAAAGATCTTTTACTTCCTTCATTAGATTGATTCCTAAGTTTTTCATATTTTTTGATGCCTTTGTTAAAGGCACGGTTTCTCTAATTTCTCTCTCAGTGAGTTTGTTATTCATGTACAGGAATGCTGTTGATTTCTGATTGTTGACTTTGTATCCAGCTACACAACTGAATTTGGTTATTAAATCTAGAAGTCTTTTGGTAGAATTTTTAGGGTCTTCTATGTAGAGTATCTTGTTATCTGAAAATAATGATAATTTAACTTTTTTCTTTCCTATCCATATTCTTATTGAGGATTTTTATGTCTATATTCATTAGAGAAATTTGCCTGTAGTTTTCTTTTTGGTTGGATCCTTTTCTGATTTTGGTATCAGGGTAATACTTGCTTCTAGGAATGATTTTAGGAGTATTGTTTCCCTTTCAATTTCATTAAAGAGTTTGAGGAGTAGTAGCTTTAGATCTTCTCTAAACTTCTTGTAGAATTCAGCAGTGAATCCATCTGGACCTGAGCTTTTCTTTGTTGGTAGGTTTTTAATTACATGTTCAATTTCATTGACTGTTATTGGGTTATTTAGAATTTTTATATCTTCTTGATTCACCTTTGGTAATTCATATGTACCTAGGAATCTGTCCGTCTGTCTTTTCCATCTTATTAGAATAAAGGTTCTCAAAATAGCTGCTACTGATCTTCTGGATATCTGCAGGATCCATTGTAATTTCACCCTTTTCATTCCTAATTCCATGAATTTGAGTCTTTTCTTTCCTTCTTTTGATGAGGTTGGCCAAGGATTTATCAATATATTTAATCTTTCAAAGAACCAACTCTTTGATTCATTGATTCCTTGTATTGTTTTCTTAGTCTTGATTGTATTAATTTCTGCTCTAATCTTTATGATTTCCTCCCTATTACTAGGCCACGTACTAAACTAAAATCAAAATGGTTCAAAGATCGAAATATTAAAACAGAAACACTAAATCTGCTGGAAGAGAGAATAGGTGGAACTCTTAAAGACATAGGTGTTGGCAAATATTTTATAAACAAAACACCAATCACATGAGAAATATTACAAAGAATCAACAACTGTGATATTTT